AAGACTGACTTCTGTGACCAAATGTGTGGGGATTTCTCCCCAACAGCAAGCAAGTTCAGCAGCAGATACCAGCTGGGTGTCCTGCAGTTCAATACTGACACTGTGTACCTGGAGAGCATCAGATCTCACAGGTTGAGGGCTCAGTCCCCAAGACTGCCCTCCCACACTTCTGAGAGGCCAGTTACACTCTCCAGGTTGTTTTACGTGTGCTTCTGACTGACTGGATATAAATTGGGGTTCCAACAACCCCTTCTTTAGCTTGGACTACTTTGCTGAGTGGGTCACAGAACTCACAGAAAACATTTCTTCAGTCCATCTCTGTCTCCATTGTCAGCATATTGTATACATTTTTTATTTAGTAGCTATGTGTTGTTTTCATTCAACAGTCATTGCCCCACAAGGTTTATTCTTGATTTTTTTCTCTCTTTTGGAAGGAGCTAAATTTCCACAATGATTTCTCTATAGTTTTTGACTGAGTATAAACAATTTACACTGTTTGCAATTTCAACACATCTAAACAAGATACTACTAAAAACTAAACTCTCATATTTTCTCCCATAAGAGGTAATTTATGCAAATATAAATCATGCCAGCACATTTCGCAATATAACAAGTAATTCATTTAAGATTTTTATGTTACTTTTTAAAATAGTACTGTAAATTACCCAGGGATAAATTTTTATTCTATGTTATTTCAGTTAAGAAAATAATGCATATAGGACAGGCCAGTTAGCTCATAGTCTTATAACACCAAGGTCATGGGTTTGGATCCCTGTTCTAGCCAGCTGCCAAAAAAGAAGAGAAAAGAATGGATATCATGGTATTTATTTAATAATCAATTAGGGGTAAAGGAGAGAAATATTTTGGGGATATCTGGATCATCTGTCATAATCTTCATCCTATGAGAAGATGCAGCAAAACTGGGGTTTGAATCTACATCTGAGTGACTCTGAGTCACAATCTGATTGTGCTCTCTGTGTTAGATTGTATAGTAATGGTGAATATTGTAATTATTTTATTAAATTTGATTTTTGTTATTCTTAAAGCTGTTATCTTTTTTTTCTAGAATGTTCCAAAACCAGACTTAACAAAGCTAATCAGTGCTTCTCGGCAATCCATGAAAATTCGTAAGCTATTTGAAAACTGCTTATTCTTGTGTTTTTTCATTGATTTGAAATTACAAATATTTTCATGTTCTCTTTACTTTGTTTGACTCTAGTAGAGGCAAAACATGACCTTCAGAAGCTAGAAGACAGAACATTGTTGGAGGTCAGTAATTTTTTTTTAAAGAAATTTATGTATTTTTTAATTGAAATGTGTTGACTGTAACATATTTATGGAGTACAGAGTTATATTTCAGTACATGTACACAATGTGTAATGATCAAATCAGGGTGGTTAGCATATTCATTACTGCAAAACTTTATCTTTTCTTTGTGATGACAACATTTGAACTGCTCTCTTCTAGACATCTTAGAACATACAATAAATTATTGTTAATTATAGATGCCTAACACTATTGTACACCAGTAGAACTTAGACTCCATTAAGGATTTCTCATAGGGCTGGTCTAGTGTGAGGAATTCCCACAGGTTTTTTTTTTTTTTTGGTCTGGGAGAGACTCTATTTCTCCTTCATTTCTGAAGGATAGTTTTTCTGGGTATAGTATTCTTGGCTGGCATTTTTTTTACTTTTAGCACTTTGAATATATCATCCCACTCTCTCCTGGCCTATCAGGTTTCTGCTAAGAAATCTGATGTTAGTCTGTTGGGTACTCCCTTATAGGTTGCTTTTCTCTTGCTATTTTTAGAATTTTCTCTTTGTCTTTGACTTTTGACAATTAGACCACAATATGTTTCAGAGAGGATCTTTTTGTGTTAAAACTGTTTGAGTATCTTTGAGCTTCCTGGATCTGGAAGTCCATATCTCTTCCAATACTTAGGAAGTTTTGAGAGATATAAGAGATTATTTCATTATAGAGGTATTTGTGACTTTTTCTTTCTCTTCCCCTTCAGGAACACCCTTAATTTAGAT